GAAGTGAAACAATCTATGGATAGTATAGTCAGTTGAGTGGGAATTGGTACAGTCGATGGGGAGTGTAGTCTATTGAGGGGTAAGTGGTACAGTCGATGGGTAGTATAGTCTATTAAGGGAGAAGTAGTACAGTTGATGGGGAGTAAAGTCTTTTGTGGGGGAAGTCGTACAGTCGATGGGGAGTGTAGTCTATTGAGGGGGAAGTGGTACAGTCGATGGGTAGTATAGTCTATTAAGGGAGAAGTAGTACAGTCGATGGGGAGTATAGTCTTTTGTGGGGGAAGTGGTACAGTCGATGGGGAGTGTAGTCTATTAAGGGGTAAGTGGTACAGTCGATGGGTAGTATAGTCTATTAAGGGAGAAGTAGTACAGTCGATGGGGAGTATAGTCTATTGAGGGGGAAGTGGTACAGAGGATGGGAGTATAGTCTATTGTGGGGGAAGTAGTATAATCTATGGGGAGTATAGTCTATTGTGGGGGAAGTGGTACAGCCGATGGGGAGTATTGTTTATTGTGGCAGAAGTGGTACAGTAGATGGGGAGTGTAGTCTATTGTGGGAGAAGTGGTACAGTCGATGGGGAGTATAGTCTATTGAGGGGGAAGTGGTACAGAGGATGGGAGTATAGTCTATTGTGGGGGAAGTAGTATAATCTATGGGGAGTATAGTCTATTGTGAGGGAGGTGGTACAGCCGATGGGGAGTATTTTTTATTGTGGCAGAAGTGGTACAGTAGATGGGGAGTGTAGTCTATTGTGGGAGAAGTGGTACAGTAGATGGGGAGTATAGTCTATTGTGGGAGAAGTGGTGCAGTAGGTTGGGAGTGTAGTCTATTGAGGGGGAAGTGGTACAGTCGATGGGGAGTATTGTCTATTGTGGGGGAAGTGGTGCAGTAGATGGGGAGTATAGTCTATTGTGGGTGCCCATTTGTGTGCCCTATTAAAGTCCACTCAACATGAAAACAAAAACTAGGAGATTTCGTGACTAACATATGGTACAATTTTATTTCAATAGTTTGCAATAGAACAGTAGGATGTTAAACCCCATTTCATTTTGTATAGGTATAGACTATAGAGTGAAGGTGTTACTATAGAAATATTTAGGTTGTAATAATGTTACCATGTGGTATAAATTATTGACATTATTGTCATAGTTTCACATGGTGCCTTATCTACCACACATGAGGTATACACCATATATACCAGTTAACAAGGTGGTCTATGGTCTAATTCATACTGTATCCTTAACTATTCTACCTATATACACTAGGCACCAGAAACAAGGTCATCTGTGGTCTAGTTCATAGTGTATCTACAGAGAGAAAAGTAGTGATAAGTATAGCAATATTGTTTCTATGTGACAATCTGTCGGGTTGATGGCTGCGGAATAGTCTGATAACTAGGATATTAAATGAATATAACTAACTGGGATATTAAATGAATCTATAACTGGGATATAACTGGGATATTAAATGAATCTATAACTGGGATATTAAATGACTCACTAGCTGGTATATTAATCTATAACTGGGATATTAAATGACTCACTAGCTGGTATATTAATCTATAACTGGAATATAAAATGAATCACTAGCTGGGATATTCAATAAATCTATAACCAGAATATAAAATGAATCACTAGCTGGTATATTAAATGAGTCTATAACCAGAATATAAAATGAATCACTAGCTGGTATATTAAATGAGCCTACAACTGGGTTATTAAATGAATCTATAACTGGGATATTAAACGAATCACTAACTGGGATATGGTATATTAAATGAATCACTGGTATATTAAATGAATCACTGGTATATTAAACGAATCACTAACTGGGATATTAAACGAATTTATAACTGGGATATGGTATATTAAATGAATCACTGGGATATTAAACGAATCCATATCTGGGATATAAATGAATAACTAAATGGGTTATTAAATGAATCCCTAAAAATTGAGATATTGAATAAATCAATTGAATCACAAGCTGGAAGATTGAATGAAGCGATAATCTAGATAATGAATGAAAACAATAACTGCAAGAGAATGGGGGGTGGGGGGGGTCCATGGTCGTGTGCTTTATCTTTTATCATCAGATGGTGGGATGGGATGGGCATTCTAAGCACGAATTAATGCTGAGGACATATGTGATATCACAACTGATACTTTACATCAATAAAATTGAATCACAATGTGATCCTATTAATTCATAATAAAAATTGATGTCAAACAGGGTGTTGTATTTTTTCTTTTTCAAAAGCTCAGCATATATGGGTGAAAAAGATGATAGAGACCATGTATATCTCATAAATTCTGAAGGTGGTGGGTTTTGAGCTTTGAAAGACCCTCTCCTCCCTCCCCCCCCCTAAAAAAAGATACATTGCCTCATGACCCTGGGAAATCCCCTCCTGCAAAAATTCCGTCCCTGAACTGGTAAATTGAAAAAGCTGGGATATTAATTGGATAAACTATAAAGAACATCTAGCGTATTGTTTAATAGAATAAACAGCATGTGATAACTATTTAAACTACAAACAGATACAAACATTGTGGTGAATATAAACACCAGGATTTATCAGACTTGATATCGTTAAGTACTAGAACTCAGCTGACAATCATCAACTTGTGTTTTTATCTTCAGCTTGGTTTAAACCTACTGTTATATCCCAATTTGTTTCAAAATGAAAACAAAGGTGGTGCCTTACTTCTTTACATTTTGTTGTATTTATAATCAAAATGTTATCGCATTTTTGTGAAACGGTTTGTGTGTGTTTTTGTTTCGTGTTTTTATTTTGTATTTATGGAAGAATGGTTTTATCTAGAAGGTTTATTTTACATCTGACAGTTTGTTGTGCTTCAGTTCATTGTCTGTCAGTCGTGCAGGACCGAGGAGCCTGACAAGGACAGCTATCTAATATACTGTTTTTGACAGCTTTCTAGTCATTCAGGTGGGACGTAAAACTGAGGTCCTGTGTACACATTGGCGTGCACCTAAATAATACCTTGGCAGTTGGAATTCGATATAAGAGTAGGCTGTAGTGCTGCTGACATTAGTAAGCCAGTGGCGTCGTTCTCCCTTGTCAGTGGTGCAGTGACAGTGTCCAGTCCTTTGGATGGGACAAAAAGCCGAGGTCCTGTGTACACATGTGTGCCAAGTAAAAGTTCCTTTGACAGTTGGAATTTGAAATAAGAGTAGGCTGCTGCCCTGGCAAAATTTCCATCATAGCACATTGCATATGCCAGTCTTTATTAGCTCGTTTGGTGCAGAAAAGTAAGAAGTTAAACCCCATTTCAATTCATTTCAAAAGTCTGTGACAAAGTTTCGTCCTGAAACAAGGTTTGATATAAATAATGTCCGCTCAATAAAGCCGCAGATCGTCATTTCAGATTTTGATAAGTCGTGAAGACTTAGATATTTTTTTCGAAATATGCATATAATGATCAGCAACATTAACCATTGCAACAGCAGATAGCAATATTGGGTGATTGTTTTCATTACAGTGCCTAGCAATTATTGGTGATTGTTTTCATTGCTAGCAATATTGGGTGATTGTTTCCATTGCTACAGCAGATAGCAATTTTGGGTGATTGTTTTCATTGCTTTATCATGTTCACTTGCTGATTAAGGGGAGGTACTACTGAACAATATGCATTTTAAAATAATTCACTTCTAATAGTGCTATTTGAACAATCCCTGAAAATTTGATGTTGATAGCACTGTTAGAGTAGTGTCTCCCATTAATCAAAATAGACTGTCTTTACGTAAAATCACAGAGTTAAAATAATTTATAAAAATTTCTATAGAAATATTTGATGAAAGGTATTTCACTGTAAAAAGAAATTAGGTATTTCACTGTAAAAAAATAAAATTTGAAAGGTATTTCACTGTTAAAAAAAAAAAAAAAATTACAAAGTATTTAACTATAAAACTCCTTTTTAAATTTCTTAAACTGGTGCGTGTTAATATATTTTCAAAGGATACATTCCACTTCTTGCATCCCTACAGCCAGATGCTGTATGCTGTTTCAGAAAGTTTTTTTTACTTCAAAGATATTTTTATTATATGTTTATGACAAACCAAGTTTTAAAATTTGGCTGACAGACAAGAATTTAGTACATATGTTTTGGAAATCTGTAGAGCAGAACATCTAGTCACAGTAACACTGGAGTGCATAAATTAATAAGGACAGCTTACCCTCATTTCTCATTGAAACAAAATACAGGGGGATAGCACTACATGAGGCACACACCCACCTATCCTAACTTTAAAAAATCTGTGTGATATTGATATCAACATTGACTGAACAATTGAAAGATTGGCAGATGTCTTTAATCAATTCTATGACTGTTTAAAGACACATTATGTAAAATTTAGATAAAGAGCTGGTCATCCTTGCTATATTAGTTCAAAAATAGATAATGAAAAATGAATATACATGTATTGAAAATTTCATTCAATTTGCTTACAAGATGTGTACACTGATTTGTAACCAGTCCACCAGACTGGTTGTTTGATTTTGAGACTAAGCCTCACTGCACCAATTTTACAGTAAATCATTAAGTGGCCGAACCGTTCTAATTTGCTTAAAATCAGACCCATCCAATGGCATCAAGAGTTGATTATGGTCTTTTCATGTTAATAAATATCTAATTAATAGTTTATATATATAACGTTTCAGGTCTAAATAAAGACCTGCAATAGGCAGATTTAGCTCTTGCATAATGCCTGTCCCACCTAGCTTGTATTTCTTTAGGTCCTCCGGTTTCTTGCGCGAAGGGGGTCATTATATGTTAGTCCTGAAATGACCTAGTTTGTGTCGTCCAGTGGATGTTAAACCCCATCTCTCTCTCTCTCTCTCTCTCTCTCCTATTTCTCTATATATTTATAAAACTGAACACTCAATACAAATACACAAAGTTCACCATCATTTTCTACTTAAATATCCTTCAATAAATTCATGTTCAGTCTCTAGCTATCAGTGTGTATCAAATGTCTTAAAGACAGCCACAGTAAAACCATTTGGTAAATTGGATTAAGCTCAGGCTAGCAGCAACTAATTGCCTGGCTGGAGGCGTCTTTAAACAGCGAGGGACATTTGACTGTTAGCCCAGCACACAAAGCTCATGTGGAGTAGAAGTCGTTGGTCGTGTGGTAGCAGTTTGAATTGTGCCGTTCGGTGTTTACTCATGGTTTTCAGTAGAAAGTGGTAGAAAGCTATTTGTATGCTTGGTGTGTGTGAACGCTGTGTGTTTCACAGATATATTACATGCTAAAGCCTGATAATCAGGATGTAGTTCAGTGGGTTTTTTTACGTGTTTTAAACTTGTTGTGAGATCAGTAACAGGTATGTTGTTAAGTTTCTTTAAATCATATTAATTGTCTTTATTAGTACATATTATATAGATATAGATTGTGGTTGGGGGTGCTTATGGGTGATGAGTGTTTTGCTTATAGTCCTGTATATAAATAAATAAATATAGAATTTTATTGGTTATTATATCATAAAGTGATAAGGTTTTTTTGTTTTGGGTGACAAGTGTTTTAGATACTATTGGGTTTTATGATATTGGGTGATCTAGTTTGTGTTTTTGGAGGTTTTGCTTAGTTTTGCAAGTAAATATAATATTATACTAGTCATTAAGTGATCTAGGTTTTTATTTTGTATTTGGAGTGATAGGTGTTTAGTTTTTCCATGTAAATACAGTTTTCTAATAGTTATTATGTTATTGTCACATAATGTTTATGTATTTACTGTCTTGTTGGCATCTACTGTTTTTTTTCTTTTCATACAATAAAATCTTACATATTATGCATGTGTTTTCATATCTCTGTTATGCACATTTTTGATGTTGTTTTCTGACTCTTGTGAGCGTTTTACGATACAATAAAATATGTAATGATATCTACTGATGTCATTTTGGATTTTTCGATGATTTAATGAAATAAAAAGTGGTGTTCTTTAAAATCCACTGATTTTAATAAATGACATACGAAATTAGAAAATGTTTCTGTAAAAAACTGGATGGATGAATCTTATAATAAATCAGTTTTTATGAAAATTGTAGGATATAATTAAGTGATATTAGGTGAGCTCCATAAATACACAATACTAGGTGAGCTCAGTAAATATCTAATATTAGGTGAGGTGATAATAGGTGAACTCTATATGATTTTAGGTGAGCTCTGTAATTATCTGATATTAAGTGAGCTCTGTAAATATCTGATATTAGGTGAGCTTTGTAGATTTATGATTTTAGGTGAGCTCTGTAAATATCTGATATTAAGTGAGCTCTGTTATTATCTGATATTAGGTGAGCTCTGTAAATATATGATGTTAAGTGAGCTCTGTAAATATATATGTAGGATATTATGATATTGAAAATAGGCACTGTTCTTCTTTGTCAGAAGTATTTCACATTGTTTATTTAGGTGATGCTCTGAAACTTGTTATAGTGGTTTATTGAATGATATTTAAATCAATTGGTTATGTAATATGTAGATTCCAGGAATACTCCATTCCATTTCATCTGTGATCATTCAAATAGCACACCAGAGAAATTAGAGTTTTTGGTATATTTTACATGGCTATTAGTAAATTAGTTCATCTGTAATCATTCAAATAGCACAACCAAAAATAGAGTTTTTGGTTTATTTTATGTGTCTGTTAGTAAATGAGTTCATGTGTAATCATTCAAATAGCACACCAGCTGTCAGTAAATTAGTTCATCTGTAATCATTCAAATAGCACACCCAAAAATAGAGTTTTTGGTTTTATTTTACATGGTGGTCAGTAAATTAGTTCATCTGTAATCATTAAAATAGCACGCCAGAAAATAGAGTTTTTAGTTTATTTTACATGGTGTTCAGTAAATTAGTTCATCTGTAATCATTCAAATAGCACGCCAGAAAATAGAGTTTTTGGTTTTATTTTACATGGTGGTCAGTAAATTAGTTCATCTGTAACCATTCAAATAGCACACCAGAAAATAGAGTTTTTGGTTTATTTTACATGGCTGTCAGTAAATTAGTTAACTGTTTATTAAAGATAATATTGACTGAGATATAATTAGACATGTTTTCTAACAGGAATTATTATCACTGATCATATAGATGGTAGACTTTCTCTTATCTAGACTCAAACCTTTCATCAACATTCTATTAGAGTCATGCTGCCAAATGATCTGATTGAAACAAACATCCCAGGGGATATGGAACTTAACACATTTAATATCTGATCTTACTCTATAGTCAAGTCAATGCCCTATCCAAATGACAGGTAGGGTCTAGTCTAGTCTACAATGTCAGTCAAATTCCCTGTCTTCATTAGCCCAGTCGGAGCAGAACATTAGGACGTTAAACCCCATTTCATTTCATTTTATTTCAGCCAAATTCCCCATATTTGAACCTGGTTGTATGTGACAAGGAGTAGGGTCGCCTGTCCATCTCCATGGGTTTTCTCTAGGTCCCCTGGTTTAAGACCCCTATATGCAAGTGAATTGTTGAAATTAAACTGGACCATATCTCTCTCTCTCTCTCTCTCTTTCTCTCTCTCTCTCTCTCTCATTTGGGACTCTACAGTATTTAGTCAGATCACTTAGATTGATATTTTAAGTAATAGGTCACTTTTTGACAAAAGCATGAAAATTGGCATGTATGTAGTTTTTGATGTTCTCTTTCAAATAAGAGCGGACTCGCCTGACCTCACCTTATTTTCGACCTGCTCCTGGCGTATGGGATTTGTTCAATTGCAGCTTCACAGTGTGATAGAAGCTTGATGTAAGTGTCTATGTTTTTGCACTCACTGAATTCATCAAAAGTACTTTCATTATCATATTTTTATGCTTAGTTACTGGAATCATGATCAGTGCAATTCTGGGTGTAGTTAACTAGTTAAAAAAATTTAATTTGCTAATTTTTTTTTTAACAAGTTAAGTTGAAGTTTTAACAAGGAAATCTAGCTTTTTGTGAGTTCAGTACGATTATTTTCAACTTATGAACAGAGACGAATGGCTTTTTGTAAAGAAACGTCATCTGCAATCGTCTTCTTGCATGAAAATAATAAATATGATTAAAAAATATTGGACAATTCTGTATACTGTCATATTGGAAAAACGTGTAGAAGGTTATATAAACATTAAAGTAGCTAAATTGCTAATATTTGGGACCTAGAATTTGACACAAACGGGTCGCAATGCATAAAATAATGTAATGTGAATGTATATAAACAGATTTACATTCAATCGTTTCTCTTTAACTGTAATTTCTAATCATTTATGTTTGGCAAAATACACTAGAAGTCTCAATTGAATGACAATCTCTAGTGTCTGGATATTCCAGTCTACACCAATAGTATTTATTGCACATGTTGTCCAGATAAGAATATGTTGTCACCGTTTGACATGACTTGTGGAATATGTCTAGTCTGGTACAGAGACTTAGCTACTTTAATAATTTAAATTTGTAAACATATTTACGGTGTGTTTTTGTTTTATTATAATTTTGACTTTTTAACTTTTTTAAACTAGTTATAGTTCTTTAATTTTTAACTCGTACTAGTTAAACCCAAAATTTTGACTCCTCGCAGCCCTGGATCAGTGACTCTGGATAAAGACTAGCCATACATGTCTTCGTTAATTTCAACCTGCATGAGAACCTTCGTTATGAGGAAATCAAATCATTTTCTCTCCATGAAACAGATAAGCTCATTACAAAGCTTATTTCATAGTTATTTCATTTTACAGCAGATGCCCAAATAACTTTATAACATTAGGTACAAACAAATTAACATATTTAATAAATCTTAGGTTTCCTTACTTTCTCAAAAAGAGACAACTTACAGAACAATGTAACTGCATTCCTCTGAATTATATTTATCTTACTGTGTTATGTAAACTAAATTAAAGGAAGTATTCCCTTATCTTTTGAAGGTATATTTTAACGTATTGATCTTGTTGTCATGTATGGCTTTGGTTATTTGGGGGAGCCACGGCGGCTAAGTGGGTAAGACGCTGACTTGCTAGTCTCTATGTCTCATGTTCGATCCCTGCATTGGAAGAGAAACTTCATCGGAAGTTTCAGATGTGGTTGCACCTTGTCAGTGGCACAGGACAGCTGTCTAGTCGTTCGGATGTTAAGAAAAACCAAAGTCCTATGAGGTCCTGTGCATAAATTGGCTTGCACGTAAAGGTACCTTGGCAATTGGAATTCAATAGAAGAGTAGGCCATAGTGCCGCTGTCCGGGCAAAATTTCCCCTCATAGTACAAAGTATGGCGTATGCCCATCTTCATTAGCCCAGTTGGAGCAGACAGTAGGACGTTAAACCCAATTTCATTTAATTTAATTTTTTTGTTAAAATTTGTCTCTATATTTCCCTTCATATCTGTATAGCTGTATTAGCTTGATAACATTGAGAGAATACTCTTTGAAACGTCGCTTTAAAATACTTAATTACACTGGTGGCTGTTTTCCATAAATGTGGGTTTTTGTTTTTATTTTACAGTAGTTTCAGTTTTTCTGATTCAACTGTGTGCCTTTTCATCAGTGCAGTTGCAAATTTAAGAAATAATGACTTCCTTTTTAAAAAAAAACAAAACAAAATCCCATTTCTATACAGGAATGTGAATTTAAAAATTCACATTCCTTTAAAAATTCACATTCCTGTATAGAAATGGGATTTATTTTGACCTTTGACCTATTGAAATAGTTTAGCAGAGTGTGTTATGAGGATTTCATTATGGAAATATTTGCACACCTTCCTCTAATTTACAAACAAAAACTGGGACAGAAAATGTTAATACTTCATCAGATTAAATAAGTTGAAATTTCAAACGGAAGAGATTAGGTTTTATGTGCCAGTCGTACATACTGTAGGTAAATTTTTAATTTATTGAAATATTCAGTCAAATTTTAGTATTAGTTTTAGAAGCAGATTGGAAATAAATACCCCATAATTAGCGAGTATTTTGATACTGAAATATTAACATTTGATACGGTCGAAATTTAGAAACTCATGATCACTGTAGATTGTCATACTCATCGCAGTGTTTCGTTTGATTAGACCTAATCCCACTTAACACTGCTGTAATGGAAGCAAATTTCTGTTCCAACTTATGACAGGTCAATAGTCCGATTAACAACCAATAGCTAACTGCATAACAAAATCATTCAGCTTTAAACAGAGCTCCAAACTGGACCAAATATGTTTACATAACGTTACGTCATGACTCACGAAATATTACACCCAATTAACCAGTATATAGCAGAATATTGCTGAAAAAATAATTGCATGACAAACGAGGCTATCAACACGGATACAATGTAAACAATACTGTTTGGAGACGAACAATACTTCCACCGTTTTTAATACCTTAAATCACTGTCCAAAGTTTTAGGGAAGACCCCAGATTAAACGACGGGCTGGCCTGTTGCTGTGCTTGGGGATAGATTTGATTGAACAGGAAGAATAGACACACTCCCTCAAAATCTCGAGTATCAGAAGTCAATCCTTGAGAGGGATTTCTCAGGCCATTGCTTCAAGAATATGATAGATTGTTTACTTTGTACTGTAGATATTTTGTTTTGTACACTGCCTGTCTTAATTAGCCCAGTCGTAGCAGAAAGGTAGGATGTTAATTAAACCCCCATTTCATTTCATTTTGTACACTGTGGATGTTTTTGATGTACAGTGGATGTTTTTGATGTACAGTGATTGTTTTACTTTGTGCAGTGGTATACTGTAGTTGTTTTGTTTTGTTGTTTGCCACCAGTGTTTTTCAGATCTAAGAATTATAAAATTGTTAAAAAAAATCAATGTAACATTTTGTAACATATCCTACAAAGTTGTTTTTTGAAGATATATGAGTGTTTTGTAGAAGTAAGATATTTGACATTTAGAGATTACATGTGGATATTTAACATGAACATGTTATAACATTTTATACTATAGTCAATTAACTTTTGACTTTTAAACAAAATAATATATCACTTTACTTACCTATTATACCATCGTCAGATATCTAGATAGATAAACATATCTATCAATTACTGTTTCTTTCTTCTCACTCTAGATTGTGCAATATTAGAGTAACCAGTGGCGGCATTAGGATTTTCTACTAAGGTTTGGACATGAAGGGCTCCCCCACTCCCTCAATTTTTTTTTCAAAAATTTTTGGTGAAATAGGTGATTTGATGTATATGTACTGGATGAAAAACATAATCAACAAAAATAACTAAATCTTAGCACCAATCAGAAAAGGTGATATTGGCTGATGGGTACATGTATTATTCAATGAAAAGTACACATAATATTGTGCATTGTACATATGAACATAGAAAAATAAATTGTGTTAGTCTCAATCTGAACAATGTATTGTGTTGACAAGACATTAAACCACATTTCTTTTTCCTCATATTGTTGTGGGTTTTTTTTTTGTTCAAGTTTATAAGCGGAACGTACAGCATCCTCGCCTGTTGTGGGTTTTCTCAGGGTGCTCCGATTTCTTCCCACTACTAAAGACCCCCTACGCGCAAGTGAATTATTGAAATAAAATTGAACCATATGTTAGTCTCGAAATGACCTAGTTTGTGTCGAGTGGACGTAGTAGGTTATACCCTATTTCTCTCTCACTCACTCTTAAAATCATCCATCTTTTATACAGTCTTGTCAGCTCTGTTGCCTCGGGAATATTTTAAAATTTATTCTTTGAAAGATTTGAGTTAATGAAGATTTTTCGGCGTTTCTTCTTGAATATCTAGGATCAGGTTCAAAATTTTTCTATATCCATTTTAAAAACTTTATTATCTGTGGGGACTGGGGAGCCATGGTGGCTCTTTGAGTAAGACACTAGCTGGCTAACCAGAAAGGCCCAAGTTTGATCCCGGTGTTGACTGAGAAAGTTTCTCTAGATTTTCCTTTGTGGTTTCACCTTGTCAGTCATTCTGCATGAAGGACCTGACAAGGAGGGGTGACTAGTTATTTGGACGGGACAAAAAAACCTGTGGTCTATAGCATTTGGAATTTGAATAAGGGGAGGTCATAGCTCTGCTGTAGGGGACAAAATTTCTCTACATGGTGTATGCCCATCTTCACTAGTGCAGAGCAGTAGGGTGTTAAACCCCATTTAATTTCATTTCATATTTTATAGAAAATCTGTAATATTTTATAGAAAATCTGTGATATTCTATAGAAAAGCTGTAATATTTTATAGAAAAGCTGTGATATTTTATAGAAAAGCTGTGATATTTTATAGAAAATCTGTGATATTTATAGAAAATCTATGATATTTTATAGAAAAGCTGTGATATTTTATAGAAAATCTATAATATTTAATAGAAAATCTGTAATATTTTATAGAAAATTTCAAATATTTGTCCAATCTGATATATTTATAGGTTGTAAAAGTGATATGACGTAAAATGGTTTGAACGAAGAGAAATGGATAAACCACTCGATGGTTCTACAAACTGTACAGATGATAATAACGATGGCACCGAATGTCCTGATACTCTGTTAAACCATCTTTGTCTGCGTTTAAAACCGCCTGATTTTCCCGTCTGGTTCCAGGCAGATGATATACAACAATTACGAGAGAGCTGTAACAGCTGGAAAACGTACACAGGTATGTATATATATATATCTGTCTTATAAATAAACTGATAAATTAATCTGATGATACAGGCAACTAGAGATCTTCCTTCAGACAATCTGATAAATGAATCATTTAGTCCGAGTCATTGTTGTTTATAGGCAAATGTTTTAGACCAAAAATTTCCTGGTTGTATTGCTGAGTTTAGGTTCGACCAATTTAATTTTGTTTGTCCTTATAAATTAATCTGATGATACAGGCAACTAGAGATCTTCCTTCAGATAATCTGATAAATGAATCATTTAGTCCCAGTCGTTGTTGTTTATAGACAAATGTTTTAGACCAAAAATTTCCTGGTTGTACTGGTTGTGTTTAGGTTAGACCAATTTAATTTTAAATATAGCTTCTGTTTTCCTTGACAGAGGAGAAAGTACTTGTTTGCTTTTCTGAAAAGGTTTTAAAATGTTAAGCAATTTTTACATGGTTTTATGAGAATTGGGTGGCTATTTATCCCCACCCCCACCCCGCTAAAAGATAGATTGGTTTGTCCTTATAAATTAATCTGATACCTTGAGTTCTTACTTTAAACGATGTGATAAATGGGGAATAAAGGCCAAGCATTGTTTATAGACAAATGTTTTATGTACAGCTACCCCCCCCCCCCCACTTGATCTCTTCTATACGTTTATTGTTTGAAGTGACAGTGTATATTGTGTCCTCTCTGTATGGTTGGCCGGGGGGGGGGGGGGTATCATAGGGTCTGTCATTGAGTCAACTGGCAGGGTTTCGATTCCCCGGTTGTACGTGACAAGGAGTAAGGTCGCCTGTCCAACCTCGTGGGTTTTCTCCGGGTCCTCCGGTTTCCTCCCACTGCTAAAGACCCCTACGCACAAGCGAATTATTGAAATAAAAAAATTAAACCGTATGTTATTCCCGAAATGACCTAGTTTGTGTCGAGTGAACTTTAAACCTCATTTCTCTCTCTCTCTCTCTCTCTCTCTCTCTCTCTCTATGTATTATTGTCTATGTATATTGTGTCCTATCTGTATGGTTGTCTTGTGTATATTGTGTCCTGTATGGTTGTCTTGTGTATATTGTGTCCTGTATGGTTGTCTTGTGTATATTGTGTCCTGTCTGGTTGTCTTGTGTAATTATTGTCTTATGTATATTGTGTCCTATCTGTATGGTTGTCTTGTATATATTGTGTCCTGTATGGTTGTCTTGTGTATATTGTGTCCTGTATGGTTGTCTTGTGTATATTGTGTCCTGTCTGGTTGTCTTGTGTAATTATTGTCTTATGTATATTGTGTCCTATCTGTATGGTTGTCTTGTATATATTGTGTCCTGTATATGGTTGTCTTGTGTATATTGTGTCCTGTCTGGTTGTCTTGTGTAATTGTATATATGTGGTGCGGTCCTCCTGTACTTACTATTAGACCAAAAATGTTCTGGTTGTAATACCATATTTAAGGCAGACTAATTTAAATTATTTTTCTTCGGAAACGCCTATTTAAAGTGTAGCTAAGTCTCTAACTCAATATCATCCAAAGTCTTACACGTTAAAAACACGAATTATTTGTCAATTCAAATCAACATTGATGTTGTTATCTTACTGGGAGAATGTAGGCTTCTGATATCCAATATTTAAGACAAAATAAACATTTTACCATTGGTACACGATTCGTGTACCATAGTGCGTTTCATCGTCATTTGTAACAAGTGACCACAAAGGCGAGGCTAGACATATTCCACAACTCATGTCAAACGGCGACGCCATAACTTATCTGGAGAGCATGCGCAATAGACTGGAATAACCAGACGCTAGATAGAAATTTCTATTCGGTTGAGACTCATGCTGTATTTCGCTGGACCTAACTGATTTGAAATTAGAATCAAAACGGAAGCAATTGAATGTAAATGATTACATTATTATATGCGTTGCGACCCATTTGAGTCAATTTCTAGGTCCCAAATATTAGCGATTTAGCTCCTTTAAATTTTGATCCTATTTCTTGGAGAAAAAAGCTAATCTAAAAACAAAAATACATGATTGCTCTTCTAAAAAGTTGACAACTCTTTTTTTTTATATATATATATTTGAAATATTAAAGATTGGTTCCCAGAAAAGTATTTATTGGGTGGTTATTTCCAATAAAAGTACGGCAATTTTGGTATATATAAGATATCCAATCTTACTAGAAAAATACTGGATTCCCCGAAAAACACTCATGGAGCGTATACAGGACAAAAATGTAAGGGTTCCGCTAATCAACAGCCGTGATGTCAAAGGTCACAAGAGAACATTGAGCGCTTGGTGTACAAGTTGATAAACTTTATGAAGAGTTAGACATACAATACTTTCTGAGATAAAAATGACGGAAAAAGACGCGGGTAGTGGATAATTCGAGAATTTAATTAGGATTCGATATTTGTAATAAATAGTAAGCGATTAAAGACAACATCATCTTATGTATGCAATGAATTCTCCTCTGACTCCCAAGACGTGACGTAAACATGACCTGGTTTGATCAAATTTTAATAGCAGGGCATTCCTTCGCAATTACAATGTTTGAGAAGAATTTGAAGCAAAATTATGACAAATTAATTAGTTTGAATATGTTTTTGGTCAATATATATACCATTAAATCACCCAGTTTGTACGCGGGAACCCATCTTTAAACAAAAAATTGTCTATGGGACTTGGGTGGCTATTTATTTATCAAGACCCTGAAGAACTAAATGATAAAAAATTAATTTGGTTTGGCCTTAAAAATTAATCTGATGATACAGGCAATACCTCCAGATCTTCCTTCCAACAATCTGATAAATGGATCATTTAGTCCCAGTCTGTTGTTGTTTATAGACAAATGTTTTAGACCAAAAGTGTACTGGTTGTAATCATGTAATGTTACCTGTTGTGCTGTATGTAAGCCACAACAATTTCAACTGTTGTTTTTCGGTAACATGGGGCTGGATGGCCGAATGGTTAGCACGTGCATGTTGTATGATAAAAGTCTGTCATTGAGTCAACTGCCGTGGTTTCCTCCGGGTCCTCTGGTTTCCTACCACTGCTAAAGATCCCTACGAGCAAGTGAATTATTGAAATAAAATTGAACCATTCTGTTAGTCCCGAAATGACCTAGTTTGTGTCGAGTGGACATTAAACCCCATTTCTCTCTATATATATTACTGTTCAAGGGCCAAATATAACTTTCACGATCTTAACTTGAAGACCATTGCTTGGTTTGCTACATTAAGATTAATGTGTAACAGGGCTGTCTAATTGTCTTTTAATCTAACTGATTGATTGAATGCTAAAATAGAATTAATACATCTATTAGGAATTCCACTTTGTCTATGAAGGGTCCCTAAATAAAATGTTGACACTACATTTTTCTAGACAGGATAAAAAGTAATTTAAAAACAATATAGTACTTGTTTGCTCCTCTTAAAAACATTTAGTTCCACATTTTTAAGTTTTAAACAAAACAATTATTCACACGACTCAAGTGTTTATTTATTTATTTAATGAACTAGGGGATCACTGGCTAAGTGGGTAAGACACTGGCTCGCTAGCCTGTCCGATCCCTGCATTGACCAAGAAAGTTCATCCATATTTTCCAGCGTGGTTCCCCACTTGTCAGTGATGCAGGACAGAGGGCCTGACAAGGACAGCTGTCTAGTCCTTCGGATGATATGAAAAACTGAGGTCCCGTGTATACATTGGAATGCACGTAAAAGATCCCTTGGCAGTTTGAATTCGATATAAGAGTAGGCGATAGTGCCACTGCTCGGGCAAAATTTCCCTCATAGCACACTGTATGGCGTATGCTCGTCTTCATAAGCCCAGCATAGGAGTAGGACGTTAAACCCTATTTCATTTCATTTTATTTAATGAACTAAACTATTAGTTTAGTTTGGCCTTACCTGTGGAAGAATTCAGATTAATGAGAAAATTCTCCTAGTTTTGTTAATGTAAGATGTAGCGCACTTCAATGAGATATACCTGGTTTCATAGTATAGAAGTGCCAAGATTTTATTCCAAACATCAAATGAAGTATTATTTTTTTGATCAGATTTCACTGACTCCACAATCATATTCATTCGCATATTAATATCCGTTGTGGGCTTATTGATATATTTTTACTTCAAATTTAGGCCCTACTTTAAAATGCTTCATTTTTTAAAAAACTAATTTCACAGATAGTTTCATCCCTCTCACTGTCTGGAGCTGCCAAGCAACATTCGCTACAAATCATTTTGTGTCTGTAGAGGTAGAAAACCAACATAATTACATTGTATAGGTTAATATCTTATCAGACTAAATCAAAAATTGCCGAAGTCATTTTTGAAAATAAATTCGGTAAACATGATTAACTGCCCTAAGTGGTTAAGGTGGGGGTTGGATATCTGAATGGTTCATATGCGCGCGCTGTATCATAAGGTCTGTCATTGAGTCAACTGGCATGGTTTCGATTCCCCGGTTGTACGTGACAAGGAGTAGAATCGCCTGTCCAACCTTGTGGATTTTCTTCAGGTCCTTCAGTTCCCCCCACTGCTAAAGACCCCCTACGCGCAAGCGAATTATTCAAATAAAATTGAACTATGCGTTAGTCCCGAGTGGATGTTAAACCCAATTTTTCTCTCTCTCTCTTTCTCCCTAATTGGTTATTATTTAAACCTCAGGTGACTGTCTAATGAGAAATATTACACAAGGACGTCCTGATTTGTTCAGTTGATCAAACATAGAATGTAAATGGGGCTACTTCAAATGAAATTTTTGTACACAGTGTTATGTGTCCTTTGTCAAATGTGTTAAAAATGACTTCGACAGTATTTACATTAGGTTGATGATGTGAAGATCGCACATAGGGAAGCGAGCGTATGTTCACTTGTCTGCCAAATCTGTGTTCAGCAAAATTTAAATATAAAATTAATTTTTTTTCCAGAATTATGTCTTGGCGAGATCGAAACCACTACAGGTAATTCAATTTTGTTCATTTTTTGTTGAAAAATATTTTCTCATTGAACTTTGCATGCAATTTTCGGAAAATATCTAATTTTCCATGAGTCATTCCAATGTTGACAAAATTTCAACTCATCATATCTATATTTTTCCTAAATGAAATTGAACCATTTTTTACCTGATATTATTTTTAGAGATTCAACTTTCACAATATAGTTTTTCACAAGGGATTAAAAATCCCACACATGATATTCAGCAGTTTTATTTAAAGGAGCTAATTCGCTAATATTTTGGACCTAGAAAATGACACAAAGGGGTCACAATGCATATAATAATGTAATATGAATATGTGATCACCGTTTGACATGACTTGTGGAATATGTCTAGCCTCGTCCTTCGAGTCCCTTGTTACAAATGGCACTGAAACTCATTATGGTACACGATTCATTTACCAATGGTAAAATGTTTATTTTGGATATCAGAAACCCACCTTTTTCCGGTAAGATCACAACATCAATGTTGATTTAAATTGACAAATAATTTGTGTTTTCAATGTCGAAGACTTTGGTTGGTATAGATTTTGAGACTTAGCTACTTAAATAAGTTTAGTATATTTGATTGTGTTTTTATTGTAATCTCTTGTCGTGATATATAATCTACATAAGACCTGATGTCTTTTTTTTTTCCTCCTGCTTAACTTGAGTTTTGAAATCTAATGGGGTTTTTTCGTAAAAAAAATGATTAATCTTACAAATATATCAAGATCTCGCAATCTACTTTATCTCTGACTATTTAATAAGAAAAAAAATTGTTCACTGACATAAAAAAACAATGTGTTTTACTTGTTGGACACATAAATCTTGTGTGTGTACTTTTAAAGTAGCTAAGTCTCTAACTCAATATCATCCAAAATCTTCAACATTGAAAACACGATTTATTTGTCAAATTAAATCAACATTCATGTTGTGATCTTACCGGAAAAAGATGGGCTTTTGATATCCAATAAAATGAACATTTTACCATTGGTACACGAATCGTGTACCATAATGTGCTTCAGCCCCAGTTGTATCAATCGGCGAATGTAGACTGGAATAACCAGACGCTAGAAATTTGCACTCGCTTGAGACTGCTGGCTTATTTCGCCGAACATAACTGATTTGAAATTGGAGTAAAAACGGAAACCATTGAATGTAAATCAGTTTATATACATTTATATTACAGTATTATATGCGTTGCGACCCACTTTTGTCAATTTCTAGGTCCCAAATGTTAGCGATTTAGCTCCTTTAAATATTTGTACTGAACAAATTGTGTTTATTTCTTAGACTGACTAAACCTCTGTGGTTTGGGTTGAAAATAAAATTGTTGAATTTATATGTTAAAGGAGCTAAATCTCTAACTCAATCTTTTCCATAATATTTGAAGTTAAAAACACGAATTAGATTTCAATATTGGTGAATTTTAATCAATACTGATGTTGTTATCTTGCCATGAAACTATAGCATCCTAATATCCAATATTTAAGACACAACATTTTATAATCAGTACATGAGTCATGTATTCTGTGGTTTCCGGTGCCATTTGTAATGAACAAATAAAAACATATCCTACAAGACAATGTGGAAGTAATTATAGTAAAGGCTGATTCACAAACGACAAAATAATAATTTATAAAAAATGGTAGAATGCAAGGTGCAAACGACTGCCGTTCAATTTGAACTGTTCACATATTTTACCAAACATAATTGATTAGAAATTACAATATTTTTTTCAAACATTGAATATAAATCTTTACATACATTCCTATTACATTAATATGTATTTAGACCCATTTTCATCTATTTCAAGGTTTAAAAAAATAGAGCCATACGATATATTAAAGATACATTATGTTAAAGCTAAATCTGCCGATGCACAATTGACATTTTTTGCTAAAATATCAAAATCATGGCTTATTAATCCACTCAGATTGGTTATTTAACAATATTTTAAGAAAATTAAAAAAACCAATGCTAGATATGTCCTGGCTTGGATTCAATCAGACTTAAAAAAGACCTACCAATAAATTTTCGTGGACAACAAAGCGAGTAGCATAGATCGATTAAGCTTCAATCCACATATCTTTTTAAATTCTGAATGGAATTAATCCATTTTTGGACTGATATTCCTATTAGAGATTCTTCTTTCACAATATTGTAGTCTGCCTGTGATTCTACAGCCGTAAAAGAACACATCAGGACTTTAAGGTTTCGAAACAAAAATTTGATCATATAGCTTGGTCCATTGTCATATAAATGTGGTTAGTGTTAACAGATTCTTCAATTGTATTAAACTTTAACAATTTCATAAAATCACAAAAAAGACATTCCTTGCAACAAGAAAAAGTAAAATGCTAAATCAGTGATTCTCAACCAGTGTTTCACGGCACACAGGTGTGCTGCGAGATCTTCCTAAGTGTGCCACAAAATTTTGAAAGGCACACTAAGAAAATGCAGAAAAACATATGATCCCTATTGAGTATTCACTGGTGTCTACTTACAAGTTCATAGCTGTGTTTTTCTTTATTTAGTTTGAGTCATTCTATGTTTCTATGACTAGTCTGTGTCTACGGTTGTATGCCGTCTATGACATGCCATGTTTTTATTTATACAAAATTCAGATATTTTTCATATATATTTAGCCAGGTGTGCCACTATTTTTTCATGTGTTCCAAGGTGTGCCATAGGCAAAAAAAGGTTGAGAACAACTGTCCTAAATAATTGGTCCCTTTTAAACCTCTGAGGGGACAGTGACCCCAACTGACCCAGCCATCCATCATTTAGTCTGGTCTTGTCATTCTATATTTACTGGTAAAATATTTTTGTTTGCTAGAAAAGATACGTGGGGAATTTTAAGGTCTACAGGACTGGTATGTCTGTTCTAAGCTTAAAACCAAATCTCTAATATTTCCTACAAATGTCCAGACTCTGAACTATCCGACTTTTGAGATAACGGAAAACGTTTTGTGTTTAGGTTAGGTGGTGGTGTTAGTGAATACTAAAATACTTGTTAGAAGCAATGTTTACACGATAGTGGACAGTGGTCAGAGTAAAGTTGACCGTTCATGCTGTTTTCAATACGTCTGACGATTTTGTTAGAAATGTCAACAAGCTTGGAGGGTATTAGAGATGAAATAATCCATTAAACATGAAAAGATATCCCCCCACCCCCACCCTCTCGGATTTTCATTGAAACATGTCTTTCTAGTTATGTATACTATCCAGAACTTAGTAAATGAATTTACCTTCATTCTAGCTTTAAAAGATCCTTCGATAGATGCAATTGAAAAGATTACATGAAATACTGATATCTGGACAAATTCACTGGCATATTGGGCCTTTACCGGTAATTGGTAAATTTTTAACAGAGTTAACATTCATCAATTTCTTCAACACTTTTTATGCGAAGCGTGCAGCATACAAATTTAAATTATTTGACATATTGGGTCTTTAATTGTTAAATTTTTTAACAGAGTTAACAATCTTTAATTCATCAATTTCTTCAACACCCTTTATGTGAATTGTACAGCATACAAATTTAAATTAAAAAGTAAAAATCAAAACCAATATTGGATTTTATACATTTCAGCGCCTTAGAAACTGTTTTCTTCAGTATTAACACGCTTTATAAATGACGATATTATTATTATAAAATATTTTTTAAGTATTTTATTGTTGAAGGGATTGTTGGTCGTGCGATTAAAATCATTTATTCATAACCAGATTTGTTTTTATAACATTCTGTTGCGTGCTTGTCATCTAAGTTATGTAAATTTTATGTCAAGATGGATGATATTCAATTTTAAAAAACTTTCATGTGATAATTGATGATTTCATCACTTGTATCACGATTTTAAAAAAACAACACAAATTCTAGCTAAATGTTTTGAATTCACACTATCTGTATCAAAGCCCTTTGTAAATTAGTAATAGAAGGTATATCTAGTTTTTCGGATGGGACACAAAATCGGGGTCTATCCATGTATATATTAGTGTGCATTTAAAAGAACCCTTGACGTTTGAATTTTAAGAAGAATAGGTCATAAATGCATAGACAGAAATGGGGCTTAACATCCTACACCGACTGGGTTAATGAAGATGGGCATTTGCCATACCCTGTGCTATGAGGGAAATTTTGCTTGGACAGTCTTGCTACAGCCCACTCTTATATCGAATTCCAACAGCCAAGGGATCTTTTACGTGCATGCTAATGTGTACATGGAACCTCATTTTTTTGTCCCATCCAAATGACTAAACAGCTGTTCTTGTCAGGCCCTCTGTCCTGCACCACTGACAATGGGAAACCACGCCAGAAAATCTCGATGAACTTTCTCAGCCAACACCAGGATAGAGCCCACGACCTCCAGACTAGCGAGCCAGCGTCTTACTCACTTAGCTACTGTGTCTCCTCACATAGAAAGTAGATTCATGATTAATGTTTTGAAAATGATTAAAGTAAAGACTTTAAATACCCTTCAAATCCATTCTTTAAAAATGGTTATAAAGCCAGCCAGTATATTTCCCTGTCAGTCAGTCAAAACCTGCAAATATTACTAAAACAAGAACCTTGCTGTGAACTGACCATTACTGACTCGTGGCATGGTGGTCCACCATGAATTAACACTCAATTATTCTCATTAGTTTACACAGAGGTGAAGATTACTGCTAACCTTTGATGTTTGATCGTTTGTTCATGGGACCTAAAGTCTGCATCCACCTAGAGTGATATCGCAGACAACTAACCTTTGATGATAGAGGATTGTCTTTATACTCTGGTGGTCGCGTCTCTGCAGGTCACCCTTTTAACATAATTAAACAGATGGTTGATTAATTTAATCATTCCCCTCCTACTGTTTCCTCCCTCTCAATTAGACCATGTGGAACCTGCAGTTAAAAATATCATAGGTTCTACTTGAACTGAATGGTTACCCTTGACAATTAGACCATGTGGAACCTGCAGTTAAAAATATCATAGGTT